CATTTCCAGCAGTGAGCTTTTCCAGCCCAGGTGGTGATTGCTCCCCATTAGACCCATTGGCTGAACGCAGCATTTAGTGGTACATGTTTGTGGTCCCTGGTTGTCCCTCCCTGCAGCTCTGCAGGGCTCTGATCATCCTTTTGCAGCTCCTTGGAGACTTGAGAGCTCCATGAGCCAGTGGCTCTGTACACCTGGTACAGGAACCCTGGCAGCTCAAGGTGCAGTTTTGCACAGGAGGACACATCAGTTCCATGCAAGGAGCCTGAAGGTTGTCACCAATTTGCATGAGAAGGAGCAGACTGCAGTCATATTAACTTTTAATGAGGAGGCGCAGCCCGCAGGTGCCGTGTCCTCTGCAAGTCTCTCTTCACTTCAGCACTGTTTCCTTCCACGCTCAGCCCAAGGTGGGATGTGGGGCCATCACCAAACCCACAGATGAGGCTGAGGAGCTCCACGCCATGGCATTTCCCTTCTACTCAGCTGAGCATCAGTGGATGCTGGGCGTCCCATGGCCACCAGTGCTGTCTGCAGCACCGCAACATCCATTGCAACGCGGGGCTGCCGGATGAAGTCAGCTTTTTATGTAACACTGCAAAATGTCAATAATTTCAAAGGAACTTAGGCAAATGGGTCTGGCGGTCTAAATCCCTGCGTGCAAACCCAGTGCATCAGGCTTTAAGCAATTAATTCCTAATCGCACCCAGTGCCTCCAGTAGCCCAGCTTTAGGATTGGGAGCTTAAACGGTTTTCCACTGTACCGCACTTAATTTGGATAAAGTGAAGTGAGCGGTGTCATGGCATTCCCAGCCTGAAGGTGTGAGAGTGGCCAGTGAGGGACATTTGTATTCAGAAAGCCCTCCCATGCATTTGTGTTCTAGGCATCTATTACCAAAAAGGCACCGTAGCTAATAAAAAGGACATTCATTATGCCCCGGAAAAGGAGTTCATTAGAGGGAAAAGCCATTCTAGCTTCGTAAGAAATGAATGTGAAACTGCCTCAGAGCTGCTATTCTCATCAAGTTTCAGTGTTAACAGTTTTAACCAAGAGCTAATTGAGCAATCTCAGAAAGTGGAGTAATTCCATTATTCAGCTCAGCTTTGTTCAAGGCTACTGCCAGCTGTTAAAGGAGCACAAATGACTTTCATCGGGCCAGGAACCACCAGCCTTCTTGCCTGTTGCTACTTTTTCTTTCAAAAAATGTAGGGCTTATGGTCTTTTGGCAGTTGTCTTTGGCAAAGGAAGATCCACACCGGCATTGTAAGCGTTGTGTATAATGCAGCAATCCAACTTTTGGACAACAGGAGATGCCATGTTCAAAACTCATCAAGCAGCAGTGCATGGCTGAAGATGCTCCTCTCCATTGGGCAGTGTCACAGGAGGACAGCAGACTGTTCTTGTAGGATTTCAAATAGAAAAGGGCCATTGCAGGCTCCACTCTGCCTGCTGGTTACAGAGCACAGTTCTGTCGTTGGCTCCACTCTCAGGAGATGAGGGCTTAGCTAATGTTGCTTTCAATTTCCTTTTCTTCATGGAAGAGTTGTAATCAAAAATAAATGTACATGATTTAAAGAAAAGAAGAAAAAGTCATCACATGTTCGGTGTCTTTGGACTTACAGCTTTGGAGAGCATGTGCTGGCTGAACTGTGCCGTTCCTTTGCTGTTTCCCCTCAACAACTGCTGCTGCTGTTGGATGTGCACCGCTCTGTTTGCAGCCTTTCGTGGAAGGTGACTTTCTCCTGGTGAGCACAGCAGGATTTAGAGTCCCACTCCCAGGAGGTGGCTGTAGATCTGTTTGTTATGAGATTGCATTGCAGCGATAATCCCCTTCCAGCCAGCGGAGAGTGTGGGCTCTCAGTGATGCACTGCCCTCAGCAAGTATATCCATCTGTGTCTCTGGAGACCTTTCAGGTACACACAGACAGGCTGAGGCTCTCTATTTTGAGCACTAGCTTCCCATGGCACTGTTCAGTTCCCTGCCTCATTCGTGCACTTTAGTGGATTGCAAACAAAATCCTTGTCTCTCTCCTTTGCAGCAAACCTTGCTTTGCTAATGTCATTTGTCAAGTTAATCAGGGAGAGTGGGCACTTCTATGGCTGCTGTGTAGCCTGGCCACATTGCTATGGAAACAAGCAGCCAAACAGGCATTTTGCTTGCCCTGCTTCACTCTGAGGAGATTTGGCACGAGAAACCAATATTTTATTTGCCATCAACAAAACAGCTCACTGAGGATGCGAGTAGGTTTTCAAGGTTGATGTCAAGAGATTGGAGAGGATCAGAGCAAATAATAACCTTGCTGCTACCACAGTTCCAGGGAGTAGGTGTGCAGCTCTTCTTCCCATGCCACATGGATGTTTGGTGCTGACAGCGGCTGTGCAAGAGGAGTTCCAGCTCAGCAGCCTGGCTTTGGGGCTGCTGGCTGGTGTCATAGTCCTGCCCAGCTGGACTCAGAGATTCATAGAATCATTAGGATTGGAAAAGACCTCCAAAATCACCAAGTCCAACCCATCCCTGCCAAGCTCACTGACCACATCCCTCAGTGCCACATCTCCACGGTTCTCAAACACCTCCAGGGATGGTGACCCCAGCACTGCCTGAGCAGCATGTGCCATTGCACCACTACTTTTTCTGGGAAGAATTTTTTTCTAATATCCAACCAGAAAAGCACGATGGTCTGTGATTCTGTCTGTGTTTGAGAGCATCTCAGAAGCCTGGAATCTCAGTGAGCTGTAGGAGCCGGCGTGCCTCACTCACGTGTGAAACTTGAAGGCGAATTCTTTTGAAAACTGTACACTCGATCTGACCTCTTACATAAGTCAAGGTATAGAGTTTCACCCACTAACTGCTGCACCGAGCCCATAACTCATAAGCAAAATCCAGGTATTGAAAGAGCCGGCAGAGGATGCTTACGTACTTTACCAGGCTCTCCTCCCTCTCCCGCGTGCATGTACTAAATGATGCGTTGAACAGCTTTGGAAGCACTCCCCACTGCAGTGCAGGCATATGGGGCTGGTGGTACCTGCAGGCACCCACATGGGGACAGCCACTTGCCTGCCCACACCACAGGGCAGCAGAGGAAACCTTGCATGAGCTCGGAAAGGGCAAAAGTTCAGATCAGTTTGTTTATGGGATTTTATGGAAGCAGGAGCCAAGGATAGCTCAGCTAATCCAGAGGAAACTGTAGCGATGGAGTTAGGCTGCATTTCACATGGGATGCAATCAGCGCGCGTTCAGACGGACCCGTCTTTCTGTCTCCATTTTTTTAGCCATGAAATATTTTTCTTTGCACTCCTGTCTGCCAGCTGCATTGAGCCAAGCTCCGGGCTCAGCTGTCTTAAGAAAAAAGGGGCAAAAATAAGACAGACAGAAAGAACACCTTCTTGTCATTGACCTCCTTCTTGATCTCCTGGCTGTTGGGTGGCAGTGCTGTCCCCAGTGCCACCAGCAGCCTTCAGTGGCTGTCTTTGATGCTGTCTGGGAGCTCATGCTCCAGGTGTGAAGGTGTGGAATAGATGGAAGAAGGGATTTGATGGAACAAAACTTGCTGCTTGTTCTCCTTCAGGTGTAAAAGGCGCTGCCTTCTGCCTCTGGTGCAGCCCTGTTGGTCTCCTTGTCCCTACAATCTGTCTGCAGGCATGGTGGCTGAAGTGCATGTAGAAGATGGGGATGCTGCAAGCTGGCCAGCCCTGGGTTGGGTGCCCAGCACCCTGGGGCCATGCTGTCCCACAGCCCCCAGGCACTGGTGACCGTAGAGGGACTGATGTTGCCATCTGGTGGCTTAGCTGTACAGGAGCAGCAAGGTTTTGCTCAGCCTTCTTGGAAGCCGCTCAAACAAGTGGCTGTGGATGCCACCACCACGTCCACAGCACCTAGCCCTCTTACATCAGGCTGTGGGTGCACTGTCCACCCAACTGCCTCATCCCTTGGCCTCCTGGATGTTGCCATTCAGTTTTAGGGGACTGGCAGCCCCTTCACACTTGTGCTGTGCTGCTGTGCCATAGGGTCTCCCTCCTGCCCTCCTGTTGACCTCTCCACAGCAGTACACTTCCCAGCCTTGGCAGAGCCCACAAAGATCTTGTTAAGGGATCTCCTTCTTGTTAAAGATGAATATTTCCACTGCTTACTACAAAGCAGCACATGCACGTCCTCCTCTGGGCTCGTCTTTAATTATTTCTTTTCTCTTCCGAGCCCTTGTCAAGTCCTCCCTGACTGGGAGCACATTGCAGCTGGAGCGTGCATACCCTGCACATCACACCCATGCTCCTGGGGCACAGGGATTTGCAGGATTCAGGACCCTGCCCCACGTCTTGCAGCCAGCCCTGCAGAATTGCTGCCCTGCGTGCAGGAGGGCTGAGCTGCCCTGATTGGTAGTAGCTCTCTTGGGCACTGTGTGGAGTGTGACGTTACTACTGTAAATCTATTATCTTTTGTGGCAATTAAGATCAATTAGGAGCCTGGAGAATACAAGCAGCAAATAACTGGAGGCCCAATTAAGCACATCTTGTTGCTTATCTGAGCCCAGATAAACAAGTCTCTGGTGGCACAGCCCCTTGGATGGGAGGAAACCACAGTTGGTGGCACTGGGATCAGAGCCCTAGAGATCCCAGTTCATTGAGCCCAAGGGTGGCACAGCACCCCACAGTCCAAATCCAGTCTTCATTTATAACTCCCTGGTTCACAGACTCACAGAATGGCCAGGGTTGGAAGGGAACTCAAGGATCATGAATCTCCAACCCCCCTGCCACATGCAGGGCCACCAACCTCCCCATTTAATGCTAGACCAGGCTGCTCAGGGCCCCATCCAATCTGGTGTTGAACACCTCCAGGGACGGGGCATCCACAACCTCTCTGGGCAGCCTGTTCCAGCACCTCACCACTTTCTCTGTAAAGAACATCCCCCTGACATGCAACCTAAATCTTCCCTCCCTTGGTTCCCTCAGTCCTGTTAGCATCATCTCTCCTAACCCTTCTCAACTCGGAGTTGTGTTTCTTGCCCTACAGGCTGGTAGAGGAGTTCATGCTGCTGGCGAACATGGCCGTGGCCCATCAGATCTACCGCTCCTTCCCCGAGCAGGCGCTGCTTCGCCGCCACCCACCGCCCCAGAGCAAGTTGCTGAACGACTTGATGGAGTTCTGCCACCAAGTCGGCCTTGAGATCGACTTCAGCAGCGCGGGCAGCCTGCATGTGAGTGCACCAGAGAGCGAGGACACCCAGATTTCCTTTCTTAGTTTTCTTGGGAGATCCTGGGCAAGTTAAGGAGGGAAGGGTGCAGATTGGGAACTGGCAAGGACCAGAGAGCAGTGCTGGGAAAGGTCAGATGTACAAAGCACAGGAAGCATGGAGTGATCCTCTGCTGAGTGTGTCCTGAGGCTGAGCTCCAGCTGAACAGCACAGTGCAGCTTCCAGGATTTTCCTTCCTCACTGCAAATGCATTGTGGATAATCCGCTGTTAATCCCATCCCCTCTGGTCTCCTGCATGCCACTCTCCCTACTCTCTAGCCACACCAGAGTTATGCCAGCACTGCAGGGCTGTTCACTCAGCTTCTCCACTATATCTTGAACTCTTCTTCCAACCCTTCTTTACCGCCAGCTCTAGGCAGTGACCACCCATCCCCATGTCCCTCTGGAGTCCCATCAGTGTACACATTGAAGCTCTTGGTGTGGATGGGGCCTGGGCACAGATCAGGGGAGGGGTTCTGAGCACTGTTTGTCAGCCTGAAAACTGTCTCTCTTCTCCTTCAGAAAAGCTTAAATGAAACATTTGGAGCTGACAAATACTCCAAAGCCAGGAAAGAAGTGCTGACCAACATGTTCTCCAGGCCCATGCAGGTAAGACCCAGACATCTGTAGCTCTTTTCCAGGGCCCCATTTCCATCTCTGACTCCATCTGCATTACCTAAGCTGGTCACTACATAGGGAAAGAGTGATTGGATGCAGGGGATGATGCTGTAAGGTCAGCAGGGTCAGGCTGAGCCTGTCCTTGCACTCTGCAGTGCCCCTATGGTATTGGGATATATCACAGCAGAGGTGATGTGCAGGATGCCAGCAGACTCACAAGAACCCAGCCTGCTCCATGAAGAACTGGTGACAAGCTCTGTGGTTCATATTCATGCCACCTCATGTCATGGTATCTAAACTGGTTTCTTATCCAAGAAGAAATCAGGTATCAGGGCAATGCAGGGTTATGGGAATCAGAATCGCTAACAGTGGAAAAGACCACGAAGGTCATCTAGTCCAACCATCAGCCCATCACCCACGCCCACTAAACCACATATCTGGCCACAAATCACAGTGTGGTACTCAGGCACATCCTCTTAGAAGCAGGGAAGCTCTGGAAACCCTTTGGTCACCTTCTGGACTGAGACCTCCTGTCAATGCCTGTGCATTGGAGGCTCGTTGTGCTCCTTACAGTGATTGTCATGTTTGATGCATCTGCAGCTCAGGACATTACTTGGGTGCTTATCACCATCAGAAACCTTTTTATGAGGCATCTGTCTTTCTACATTTGCTGCTGGGCATAGAACAGCCTCTTCTGAGGAAAGTCCTACCCCATAGGGAAAGGAGCATGTTGCTGGAATGGTCTCTCTGCCGTGGTCTGCCAAACGCTGCAGGAATGAATCATCTTTCCTACATTGCTCATTTGACTGTCACTCTTCTAATTAGCTCATTTGCTCCATTTACTCATTAGCAGTTGCCTGAAGTCCTGCTGTACTTTAGTGACTTAATGCTTGCAAGTGGAATTGGGGACCAAAACCATTTAGTAAATCACCTGCTTGCATATGTTTTCAGCTCAGGAGTGCTGCTTTCTAAAGTGCAGGGAGTGCCTCTGGAGCTAGCTGTGTTCTTCTCAGTCCCATGTTCTGCTCTGGTTTGTCCTGGTCCTTTCTGTCATGTCTTCCTTTTCTGGTGGGAGGCACCAGCAGGTGGTGTGCATTCCCTGGGGTCCCTCTCCTGTCGTGCTTTGGTGCAAGCCCAGACTTTGTTGGAGGATGAAATCTTCTGAGGAGCAAATAGCAGGCAGTTCAGAGAAGAAGCAAAGGAGCTTTCAGAAGAGATATTCCATGAGATACAGGATTTTGGCAGGAACTCAACTTGCACTATCCTCAGAAGGTGAAGGTGTCCTTGTGCTCAGGTGTAGTGCAGCCCACTCTCTCCTGGCAGACCGACTGCCTAGCATCTCACATAAGAGACAAAACCCGGCTTACAGCTGAGCTCATTAGCTCTGCAGGTGCCAGGAGATGCAGAAATCCCTCTTGGTCTGGGGTGAGCTTGTGCAATTGGATACACTGTGGTGTATCCTTATGATCTCCTGTCCATAAGGAAGGGCTGTGGAGCTGCTGGGGCGAAAGATACCAGTGTTGCCCTCTGCACTCCATATTTCCTCCTCACACATGCCGTTGGCTGGACCAGCTCCCTCACACCCTGAGCAATTGAGATTCCCACTGTTGTTCCTGTTCTAGGAGCAGAGGATTGGCAGTGCAGGGCCGTCTCAGTGCCCCTCAGAAAGGACAGTTTCCAAGTGGGAAGAGCACTTTTCGCTACCTACCCCTGCTACTGGAGCAGATGGGAAAATGAGCCCCGTTCACCCATCCCCACAGCCTGTAATGGAGGAGAGCACAGCTCTGAGCTGGCAGCTGCAGAGTGGGATGACACAGGGCTGGGCCGTGGCTCTGACAGATGGTGCAGAGAGGCCCCATGTCCCAGGTGATGGAGCGGGTGTCTCAGGGACAAGGCCACATTCAGCCAGCTGTAACAAAAGCGGGTTGATCCCATGCTGATGGCACTCTGTGCCGTCCGTCTTGGCTGCGTGCTGGTGGCCATCAGCCTCATGGAAGGAGGCAAGCAGTGGGTAACGCGTGTGTCTGCCTGGATTGCTGCACCAGGAGCTCGTAACAGATGAAAGAGCAGTGACATATCATTTTTCAGGGGCTCAGTCACTCGGGGATTCAGTCTGTCCGCAAGAGCAGAGCCAGCCTGGGTTGGCTGGGGCTGATTTATTTCCAGGCTCCTTATTGTTCTCCTGGGATTGTGGCAGTCGGACCCTGGGGCTTTGAGACCACTTGCTAGTCAAATCTGCTAATGAGAAAACATCTGCTCTACATCAGGCTGGTATTATTGTGGAGTGCTGTTGTGGTAGTGAGGACAGGTAGCAGGCAAGTGCCAGTGTGTAACCCTACCACGGCCCAAAGGAGCATCCCATCCCATCTCCCATCCCTGGAGGCACCGAGGCCAGGTTGCTGGGGGGCAGCCTGCCCATAGTGGGGATTTGGGGTTGGGTGGGCTTTAAGGTCTGCCCCCAACCCACACCATTGTAAGATTTTATGATTCTGAGGTTTTGCTGTGACATCGAGCTGTTCCCAGCCTCAGCGAGGGTCATCACTTGCCATCACGGTGTTGAAAACTGGACCAGCAGCAGCTGGGCTTGGCACATCCATCAGGAAATGCCCTGGATAACAGCAGGCAGCATCTCTCTGACTTCTCTGAGCATGTCTCCCTTCCCGACCGCGCAGAGCCACGTTCAGTGGGAGCTGAACTAATTGAGTGGAGACCATACTTCGTGGAGTCCATCAGAAACAATTTAGTTCTGGGTTGTGGAAATTGGCAGCTCCTAGCACAGCTCTTGGGTCTCATAATAAGGCCGGGACCGACGCTGCTTTTTTTAACCTGCACTATTTACTTGCCCGGATCAGTGCGTTGCTGCTCAGCGGGAGCTGGCTGCGCCGCCGTGCTGGAGAGTGGAAGATGCAGCTGCCCAAACCGTGGCTCCCACGACAGCTCTGTAATCAGAGCTGCCTACTCCTGTTTGTTTTAAATCACTTGCTCTTATTTTTAAACGGGTTCGTTCAATCGCCACCGTGCTGTGACCCTGCTGCCACCCCCTGACCCTGCAGCCTCCCCTCCCCGCCTGGGCTCGGGCTGTGTTGTTTTCCCAGCCCCGAGGGCTGCTGTTTCACAGATGTAAAAATAAAAGCTGTAACATGTGAGAGCATGATGATGAGAATAGGGGCGGCAGAGCCTGCAGCCAGACCCAGAACCCAGAGGCTCCATCTTGCTGGCTGAGATCCCTTCAGCCTCATGGTCCTGCACTGTCCTCCTTTCTCACACCCTCCCCTTGCTTCTCACCGCTTTTCAGATGGCTCTGTACTTCTGCACCGGTGTCCTGAAGGACGAGACCCTCTTCCGCCACTACGCCCTCAACGTGCCCTTCTACACACACTTCACTTCGCCCATCCGTCGCTACGCAGACGTCGTTGTGCACCGGCTGCTCTCCGCGTCGCTCGGTGGGTGCTGTGAGTCCCATGCAGGTGGGGCTCCTGGGTTCCTGCCTTGAGTGCTTGGGATCCGTATCCCACCAGGCAGCTCTTTGGCATGTGGGTGTCCTCACTGTGCACAGGGGGAGCTGGGCATTGGGCTGCTGTGGAGTGTCTCTGAAGCAAGAGAGAATGTGAACCCGTTGTTGTCACTCATCTCCTTCCCAGGTATCAGCTCTCCCATCAAGATGGAGAAGGAGGCCATCCAGCGACAAGCAGAGCACTGCAATGACAGGAAGATGGCTTCCAAGAGAGTGCAGGAGCTCAGCACCGACCTCTTCTTTGCCGTCTTTGTCAGGGTAGGAGCAGTTTGGTGTGTTCTCTTGAGGAGTTTCTCAGATTTCCCCATGAGTGCTCAGTCTGGGGTAGAGAAGGGAACACTTTGTGACCATCCCCAAGCTTCGGGACCTGGTCACCAGCATGGTGAGACAGGGCTTCCCTTGGGCATGCTGGTGTAGGATCAGAAGTGATAGACTATCCCAAGTTGGAAGGGACCCCATAAGGATCATGGAGTCCAACTCCTGGCTCTGCGCAGGATGACTCAAAAATGAGACCACATGTCTGAGTGCATTGTCTCCTAACAGGAGAGCGGTCCTCTGGAGTCTGAGGCCATGGTGATGGGTGTCCTGAACGAGGCCTTTGACGTCCTGGTGCTGAAGTTTGGAGTCCAGAAGCGAATCTACTGCAACGTAAGTGTTCCCAACACTGCCAGTGCACTTGCTGCCTCAGCACACTGAACACTGGGTGTCCTTCAGCAACCTGGAGGGGCTTGGGGGCCCAGAGAAGCCCGGTCCCTAAGGACCAACTCTCCCCACTGCACGCTGTGGGTAATTTGTCTCCTTAAAAGGAAATGAAGGCAGATTTGTGGGGACAGAGATCAACATGGGGCTGAAGCAAGGAAACAGAAAGGAGCTGGCTTCCATTTCATTTAATCACGTGGTGTATCTGGGGCTGTGACAGCACTGCCATAGGCCAGCACCTGCAGTTAGTGACAGCAGCTTCTCATAATAACCGGGTTATATGGCTGGCACTGACATTTTTAAGCAGAACATATAGCATGATCTATGGGCTGTTTGTGTATAGCAGCTGCCCCTGATTTACTTACTTAGCTCAGACAGGCTGCTGCAACCTGGTTGCTACAGGGCTGCAGAGGGCTCTGTGCAAAAGCAGTGTCATTGCCATCCGCAGTCAAAGCAGGGAGTGGGGCTGGGGGTGCCTGGGGCCACAGGCTGCTGCTCCCAACATCTCCTTGCCTGCAGGCACTGCCCTTGCTGGGCTTCCACTTCCAGAAGGTTGGGAGGAAGCCAGAGCTGACGCTAATGTGGGAGCCAGAGAGCCCAGAGCAGGAATCTGTGTCTCAGGTAAGACCCCAAGCACAGGTTGGACTCATAACCACATGGATCCATCCCGTGATCTACACAGGGATGGATCTGGGAGGCACGATGCACCCCCATTTCTCCCAGCACCCAGCCTTACTCTATCCCATCGCTGCCCCCACGCCTGACCCCACCACTGCCTTCAGACTCTGCCCTGCCCGCTATGTGTACTGCCTCCCAATCCAGTTTCCTCCTGAATTTAATTAACTTGCTGTTTACTTCCTTCTTCCAGATCATCAATTAAGATGTTAAGTAAGAACAGGCCTAAGGCAGCTCCTGCTTAGCCCCTTCCCCCCCATTCTGGTATTTCTTGTCCCTCTTGCTGACACAGCCCTGCCATCAGGTTTCCATCCATGTGACAGGGCTGAGACCCATTTAGAAGGACTTTTTTTTTTAAATCAGACTTCCTGAGATGCAGCGTCAAATGGTTTAACAGCATCTAGAAATCTCTCTCTTGTGTCCCTGTCATCTATTAACTTGGTAACTCAATCAGAGGGAGCAATCGCATTTGTCTGGCTTGATTAAGTGGTGCCTCTCTGCCAACGTTTATCTGGCGTGGCTGTAAAATCACAGCTGTGTTGATTGCTGTGATCCCTGCCTGGTGCCTGGGCGGGGATGGGAGGGCTCAATCCAATCCTGTCCTCGCACTGAGAGCTCTGTTCTGGGAGAGCATTACTCCTGATAGAGCTGACCTGGAAGATCCCTTCCTGCCCAGGGAAATGTTGCTCAGCTCAGGAGGGTCAGAGCAGAGCTCCCCGGGGCTGCTGCAGGCTTTCTCCTCTTGAGCTGTGCTTGGCTCACAGAAGCCTCTGCATGCATCCTGAAGTGGCCTCAGTTCCTCCTTCCTTGCAGGAGTGGGTATCACTTACACCCTAGCAGGAACCTGCATTGAAAAATGAAGCCCCCAGCATGAGCAGAGCACGTTTTGGTTAAGCAAACACTCAGCAATGGAGGAAACTCCTCCACACCTCCTAAGAAAACATGAGAGCCCTCCCCTTGGGAGCAGCTCTGAGCTCTCCTCAAGCACATCCCAGAGCCTGGAGCACAGAGCTGAGCACAGGATGGCTGCAGAATGGCTTCCCTCTGCTTTGCTCCTCACTGAGTGCTTTGATGCATTTAAATCTCGGTGAAATTTTCCTGCTCGAAGTGATGAATCTGGAGCAGCAGGTGTGGGAGGAGCAAGAAGGGTTGGACTGGGTTATTCCGAGAGGCTTTCTGCTTACTCCTGCTCCCTAAAAGCCAGACCGTGGGGACAGTGAGAAGGAGCTGAGGGCACACACCAGGGCATGATCCCCAGCACCACGTGTCCATTCCAGCTGTCCCGGCCATCTTGTTGTCCTGTATTGGTTGCAGAGTTGATGGATGATTTATGTCCCTGAACTGCACCATTGCACGAAGTGATTGATCTGGGGGCCGGCAGGCAGTGTGCATTCCTGAGCAGCAGACATTGATTTTCTGCAGTCTCTATTCCCTTGCGTATCCCTTATCCAATCCCTTCTCAGGTCTCCTTTCGCTGTGCGAGCACCAGCGGTCATTCCCTCATTAAAGGATGCTAAGAAAATGCGACTCAACCTAAACCCTGCCGTGATGGCAACCCGCTGCAAATCCCCTCTCCCCTCTGTGTCCTTGCTGCAGGAGATCACCATTTTCACACTGGTGGAGGTGGTGCTGAAGTCGGACGGGGTTCCCCTGAAATACAGCGCTCTGCTCAAGAGGCCCAGCACTGAGAAGTGAGCGCGCCCAGCCACAGCTCTGACACTTTGTCACCAGCGCCGCACCAGCACCCACGGGGACAGAGGGGACCCGCCAGGAGTTTGGGGATTTGAATTTTGAAATTGACGTCATTTTATTTCTGGTTTGGATTTTAACCCAGGGATCGGGGTTGCCCCAGATGGGGCAATTTCTACTGGCAGATATTTTTAGCTTTATGGTTTGTTTTTTTTTCCTTTATGAGACTGTGGGTGCCCGTCCCTTGCCACTGGGGGTGCCTGTGGTGGGGGCTACATGGAGGCTGATGTCCCTGAAAGCAGAGGGGCTGCTTTAGGCTGGGTGGGCTGACCGGGCCTCTCAGAAGGGCTCCCAGCTGGGCCACGTGTCGTGAAATAAAGCAGGTCAGCAGCCGTGATGGGGACTGCGCGTAGGTTTCATTTTGCCTTGTTACCCGGGCAGGAATCTGACCATAACTCATCTCTCAGGCTGCCCTGTGTCTCCCAGGGCCTTGTGCAATCCCAGCCTCTCTGTTTGCTCAGCAGAAGGTGGGGGTCAGGAGGATGCACGTGCTCCCAACCTGTGCTGCTTCCGCTAATCCCCCAGTCTGAGCCACCACTGACAAGCACTGGGTGTCTGCCCCAGCCTCCAGCCTAACCCCACACTGAGTCCCTTCAGCCACAGACAGGACTGTCCCTGGCTCTGTGCCCACCCAACACTGAGGAGCATGGGGCATGTCCTCACTTCTCTCTTCTATGTGGAGAGAAGCACCCAGCCTCAGTCTTTCACAGAGCGTTTCATCTGTCTGCTCCACTGTTCCTATGGTGCTCTGGCAGCATCCGTGTCATCACCTTTATACAGCTGGGATAGGCTTCTGGCAAGAGGGAATGCCATTGTGCTGGCATGCAGGGAGGGAGAGCACTGTGCTTTGCTCTGTGTTGTCAGTGGTGACAGCTGTGGCCCTGGCATGAACGCAACTGCCATGCATTGCAGCAGGGACCTGGCTGTGCCTGGGCTGCCTGGCTCAGCACCAGGGGTTGGGCCCAGGGATGGGTCAGAGCTGGGTGCTACATGCACGCCGAGAGCTAGGAGGTGTTGCAGTCCCCTGCAATCCCCAAAGGATGGGCTGGTGGCATCCTTCCAGTTGCATCCGTGTGCCATGGCCCTGCCCTCCACTCATGTGGGATGTCACTTCTCCCTGACTGTGGACACAGCAGCCCATTCCTCTGTGGGTTTCCATCTCTCTCCTGCCTCATGGACACAGAAGGCACTGTATCACCCTGTCCCTTGGGAGAGGTAACCTGAGGACACTGACACAACAGCAAGCTGTCCTCCCCTACCCCTCATTCCAGCATATTCTTCTTGTGTTTTTTCACTGGGGAAACAAGCTCAATCCAGCCCAGCCCAGCATGTCTGCAAAAACAGCCCTTTGACCTACATACTCCTCACCTGTTCTGGGGTCTCTGCAGGTGTGGAGCTGTGGACCCTCAGGTACAGCCTCAGGGACACTGAGTGCCTCAGGGCAACCCCACTCCCCAGGAATAGGCTGGAAGTCCTACCTCACCTTGAGGGGGAAGGGATGGCCCTGGGGAGGGCTGGGGACACCGGGAGGGCAGGGCCAGAAGATGTCCCTGAATGTTATCAGCCCATCGTCTCACCCGCAGCAGGGGCTCAGCCCTCTGGCTGGACAGGGCAGGGCATAAAGGGCTGTGTCCCCCCCAGCCCCACACACAGGCGGCCATCAGGAAGGAACGTGGGCTGGGCAGCATGGGATGGCTGCTCTCTTCCAGGATCTGCTTCCTCCTTCTTTTCCTTGTCCCGCTCACTGCCATTGCGACCTCAGGTGAGAGCTCAATGGGAGACGTGGTGGGGTGGGAGCTCTGGGGCTGCTCTGGGGCCCTGCACACCCCCAGCTCTGCTTTCACATCCAGATGCCGAGAAGACCCCACACTACTGGAACGAAGGGGCCAGGAGGAGGCTGGAGGCAGCCCTGGCCTTGCAGCCAGTGGCACAGAGAGCCAAAAACATCATCCTCTTCATGGGTGATGGTGAGTGCTCCATGGGTGCTGCCATTTCCCATGTCACTGATTTCAGCACGCTGGGTACAAAGCTGTCCTCCAGCAGCTGCTGGATCCCTCTTCCCCTGGTAGCATGGCCCTGGAAAGGGAGGGCAGGACCATCCCCAGTCACAGCTCTTTGTCACCCCTCGCCGCAGGCATGGGGCTGCCCACGGTGTCAGCAGCCCGGATCTACAAGGGGCAACTGGCCGGCAGCTCGGGTGAGGAGAGCGTCTTGGCCATGGAGGCATTTCCCCACGTGGCCCTGGCCAAGGTGAGCAGGGCAGTGCTGAGGGGGCACAGTGCTGCCCCCAGCCCCCCTGACCCTTGCTCGCCCATAGACCTACACCATCGACCGGCAGGTGCCTGACAGCGCTGGCACGGGCACGGCCTACCTGTGTGGGGTGAAGGCCAATGCCAAGACGCTGGGGCTGAGCGGGGCGGCCGTCTATGGCAAATGCCGCACAGCATTCGGCAACGAAGTGGACTCCATCCTGCACCGGGCCCGGCTGGCAGGTATATGGGGTGGGTACACTCATTGCAGAGGCCAGCTCGGCACAGGTGAGCTCCCCACAGACCCTGTGCCGTGCTGCAGGTAAGTCGGTGGGCATCGTGACCACCACACGTGTGCAACATGCATCCCCTGCTGCTGCCTATGCACACTCGGCCAGCCGCAGCTGGTACGCCGATGTCAACATGCCTCCGGAGACACTGCGGGACGGCTGCAAGGACATCGCCTACCAGCTGGTGCACAACACCGACATCAACGTGAGCCGGGGACATCGTGGTGGCTGCATCCCTGGGTGCTGTGTCCCTGTGCTGGTGACAGCCCTCCCCCCCTCCTTGCAGGTGATCCTGGGTGGCGGGAGGGCCTACATGTCCCCCAGGTGGACTCCAGACCCTGAGTACCCGGACGACCCGGCGCAGAATGGCACCAGGAGGGACGGGCGGGACCTGGTGGCCGAATGGCTCAGCACCAGGGAGGTAGAGCAGAGGGGACGCAGCGCTGGGCACGGTGTGTGTGCCACTGCCACCGCTGTGTCCTCGCTGTCAGGGCGCACGCTACGTCTGGGACAAGAAGGGCCTGGATGCGGTTGATGACACCTCTGTGAGCCACCTCATGGGTAAGAGCATCGCTGGCTTTATGTCAGTAGTGCCATTCCACTCTGGATGGCACAAAGCAGCCCTAACCCCTCTCCCCCAGGCCTCTTTGAGCCCAAGGACATGAGGTACGAGCTGAACCGCAACGCCACCACGGACCCCTCCATTGTGGAAATGACAGAGAAAGCCATCCGCATCCTGCGCAGGAACCCCAACGGCTTCTTCCTCTTTGTGGAAGATGAGTGCAGGGCCCCAGGCTGGGACATGGGTCCTGGCAGCCAGGTGGGATCAAGATGGTGATGGCCCCATTCCCTGTGCAGGTGGAAGGATTGACCACGGACACCACAGCGGCCGGGCCAAGCAGGCACTGACGGAGGCCATCATGCTGGACTGGGCAGTGGCACAGGCAGGCGAGCTGACGGAGCCCTCTGACACACTGACCGTGGTGACGGCTGATCACTCACATGTCTTCACCTTCGGGGGCAACACGCTGCGAGGAGCCTCCATCTTTGGTGGGACTCAAGGAGAGATGAGCATCCCTGCTCCCACCCTGTGCTGTGCCTCCATGAGAGGCCATGGGAGCTCCGGGCAGGCTGCTGACTGGTGCAGGGGGTGACAGTACACTTCTCCATGTCAGGGCTGGCCCCTAAGAAAGCGAAGGACAAGCGAGCCTATACCAGCATCCTCTATGGCAATGGACCGGGATACAGCATTCGTGATGGGGGCCGCCCAGCCGTCAGCCTTCCAGCTGTGGGTAGGATTCTACTGGAAGAGAAGGAATGGGGTGGTGCCTTTCTGGGGTTGACTGGGGCAGGAACTGCCCCAACACCAGGGTGGTGGGAGCTGCTTCATGCAAAGGGCAGAAGAGCTGCTCCCAGCACCATTTCTCCTACTCTCTCCACAGAGGACAAGGACTACAGGCAGCAAGCAGCTGTGCCCCTTGACTTGGAGACCCACAGTGGGGAGGATGTGGTGGTGCTGGCTCAGGGTCCCATGGCCCACCTCTTCCACGGGGTGCAGGAGCAGCACTACATTGCCCATGCCATTGCTTATGCTGCGTGCCTCAAGCCTTATGATGCCAGACCCCGCTGTGGTGCACCCCGTAGAGCCTCTGGCAGCAGCCAACACTCCCCACAGCCTCTACTCGCTCTCCTGGCCCTCTGCATGTCTGCCTTCATGGTGGTGGGCTGAGAGACCCCACTGAACCCTGCTTCAGCCCCCTGTTGCAGGCAGGGTCACAGGATGCAATAAAATGTGGGCTGTCTGGGTTCGTGTGCCATGGGATGATTTGTAGCAGCAGTTGTGCCTCAATTTCCCCGGGTTGTGACTCCTAACTGGGGCCTGCACTGGCGTGAAGCAGAAGAAGAGACAATGGTGAGGGGTGGCCACATACCCACAGCTCCATCCCTGGGTTACTGGGAGCCCACAGTATAGAGGAGTTTGCGCAGCTTTGAGGTGCTGTGCACAGCCTGGTACAAGAGCTGGTCCTGACATTTAGTCCCCATCAGTGCCTTTATCGCTCCAGGAAGTGCTGGGTGGAGCCACCAGGAGCACCCCAAGTCCGTCCCTCCTTCTGCACCCCATGTTCCCTCCCCTCTGCAGCACCTAGCAATAAGGTGGCAATGAGGTGCCAACAGCCCAGCCCCACGGCCTTTGAGCCGATGGCCCAACAGGATGCCACACTATCTGTGAAATGCCAAACCCCTCAAGGGCAGATCCTGGTCCAAAGTCCCCCCCTCTGAAGTCTGCAAAAGAGGCAGGCACAGCTGGAGCTGGTGACAGCTGCTCCAGTTCCATCATGCGGCTGCTGGTACCCCTCACCCTCTGCCTTGGCCTCTGGGCAGAGCTTGGCGCTGCTGTCATCCCAGGTAGAAACAAGGATGGGGATGGGGGCAGACACCCCTGGTACCAATGTAGTGCTGGCCTGGCTGTTCACAGGCCACAGCTCAGGAGGGAGCAGGAATATCAGGGAGCATTGGGATGGGGCTTTGTGTCTGCTGGTGGGCTGGTGTTGCCCTGTGGGATTGGGGTCCTGCTTTTGTTTGAGTCGGGAGGGGGTGTGTGATGTGCCTATAGCTCCTCTACCTCCATGCATTTGTCCCTATCCCACTTGGCAGCTGGTTTCTCCCACTGCATCCCTTCTTGCTGCACACGCCCTTCCTGTCAGGGTGTACATCTCTGTGTCCTCCCCTCATCCCAAACCTGTGGATTCATCTGTACCTCCCCCCGTGGAATTATCCCATGAGTGGGAGCCCAGCGATGTCCTCAGTTGGGGGTGTCCACCATTGGGTGTCCTGGGGGAGTGGGTGCCGTGAGCTGATGTGGGCAATGCCCCTTCCCAGTGGAGGAGGAGGATCCAACTTTCTGGAACAGGAAGGCAGCTGCTGCCCTCGATGCCACCCTCAAGATCGAGCAGAGGACTACTGAAGCCAAAAACCTCATCATCTTCCTCGGAGATGGTGAGTCCCTCTGGTCCAGTGCACCGCGAAATGAGAATGGGGAGGGCACCTGGGCTGGGGGTGACCTGAACCCTCACTCCTTGTCCAGGATTTGGGGTCCCCAGCATCACAGCCACTCGGATACTGAAGGGGCAGTTGAAGGGGAACCTGGGACCCGAGACCCCCCTTGCTCTGGATTCTTTCCCCTATGTGGCTCTCTCCAAGGTAATTTCCCCCAGTACTGCACTTGGGACCATGCTGCAGGCCGTAGGGCTGTGGGGGCAGACATATGGCAAGAGGTGCCAGTGTGCCCTGTGCATGTCCTTGGCAGACGTACAATGTGGACCGGGTGGTTCCCGACAGCGCAGGCACAGCCACTGCCTACCTGTGTGGGGTGAAGGGCAACTACAAGACGGTGGGGCTGAGCGCGGCCGCACGCTCTGGCCAGTGCAACACCACGGAGGGCAACGAGGTGATCTCGGTGCTGGAGCGAGCCCGTAATGCTGGTACTGTGCAGGGCATGGGGTGATACGGAGCAGGGGCTTCACACCACTGGGGCTGCCCACCATGGTGGGGTGTGTTGGGGCAGGGAAGGCAGTGGGCATCGTGACGACCTCGCGGGTGCAGCACGCATCGCCCTCGGGGACCTACGCGCACGTGGTGGATCGCAACTGGTACGCGGACGCCAGCATGCCGCCTGAAGCCATAGCACAGGGCTGCAAGGACATTGCCTGGCAGCTGGTGCACAATGTGGACATCAATGTGAGTGCCTGTCCATGGGGGGGCAGCCCCTGCTGACCCAGACATCCACGCACTCTGTGCCCATCTCATCCCCTCCAGGTGATCATGGGAGGCGGTCGGATATACATGACCCCTGCTGGGACACCAGATCCTGAGTATCCTGAATACAGCTCTGAGAATGGGATACGGAATGATGGGCAGAACCTCATTGACAAGTGGCTGTCAGAACGGCAGGTGGGTGACAAAGAGAAGACAGCCTTCTGTCCACCACCCCTTGTGCATGGGGCCAGGCATCACTGATCCCACGGGGATCTACCCACAGGGTGCCCGCTATGTCTGGAACAAGACAGAGATGCTGGCTGCTGCTGCAGACCCCAGTGTGACTTATCTGATGGGTAACAAATGCCCCATACACCGGCACGTGGCACTCTGGGGATGCCTGCAGACACTGAGGCTGTGCTCACTGTGTCCCTCTGCCAGGTCTCTTTGAGCCCAAGGACATGAAGTATGAAATGGTGCACAATTCCACCCTGGATCCCTCTCTCACTGAGATGACAGAGGCAGCCATCAACATCCTGAGCAGGAACCCCAATGGCTTCTACCTCTTTGTGGAAGGTAATTCAGGGCTGAGGTCTCAAGGGTGGGCAAGAGAGAGGTGATGGGCTCTGCATTACGGGCCACTGCCGTGGTTTCCCACTGTGGTTACCTGCCTGCAGGTGCGAGGATCGACCACGGCCACCACGAGGGCATGGCACAGCGGGCACTGATGGAGGCGGTGGAGTTTGACACGGCCATTGAGCGGGCAGGCGAGCTGCTGGACGAGGCAGACACGCTGACCGTGGTCACTGCCGACCATTCACATGTCTTCTCCTTTGGTGGCTACACCCTGCGTGGCACCTCCATCTTCGGTAGGGCTCGGAGCAGTGAATGGCCCCACGCTGGGTGCTGCCCCTCTCTCAGATTGTGGTGTGGGTCTTCTTGGCTGATCCCCCCTCATTATTTCCTCCCCAGGCTTGGCCCCTGAACAAGCCACCGACCAGAAAGGCTACACCTCCATCCTCTATGGGAACGGGCCAGGCTACCCAGGCGCCACCCGACCTGATGTGAACAGCAGCATCGCTGGTGAGGGCACAGGGCAACAGTGTGGTGGTAGGATGGGGCTGGGGGCCACCTCCTGACTCACAGGCTTCTCTCCCCCAAAGAGGAATTCAGTTACATGCAGCAGGCGGCTGTCCCCCTCAGCTCGGAGACCCACGGGGGTGAGGATGTGGCCATCCTGGCCAAAGGCCCCATGGCCTACCTCTTCCACGGGGTGCAGGAGCAGAACTACATTGCCCACGCCATGGCCTACGCCGCCTGCCTCGAGCCCTATGAAAACTGCCGCCAGCGCAGCAGTGCTGCACCCTCAGCCCACCTCACCCTGCTGGCCTTGCTTCTGCCTGCTTTGCTCTTATCCCTCTTCCACTGACCCCACAGCTTCCATCCCCATCCCACAGTGCACACCCATGGACTCTTTGGAGTATCCTTGCTTTGGATGTGGTGCACCAAATCCCGGGCATGGACTGCTCCTTGCTGCCTGCACAGGGTACTCGTTGTTCAATAAACCTTGGTGTGATGCTAGCACGTGTGGCACTTGGTGTGTGAGATGGGAAGGATGCTCCTGCCCCATGAGTCTGCCCACAACTGTGCTGCCTGCAGCCACCTGTCCCCATGCCATACTCTGGCACATCTGGCGTATCCAATGCTTTATTGACCAGAAAGAGCAGCAAAAAATACAGCACGTTTGTGTGCACTTCCAGACAGGCCGGCATCACCCTAGCCCCCAGTGACTGATGGAAAAAGGATTGGGCTGGCACAGGGATTGGTACTCTTGGTACACCCGGTGCCTCCAGGTCCCCTCCCTGCCCTGAGCAGCTGGATGTGGGGAGCTGGGAGCTTTGGGGTAGTGTGGACAAGAGGGTGCCACTGGGAGAGAGCTCATAACCCCAGTGTGTCCCCTCTGCCTTGACACACCCCACCCCAAGTGGTTGCCTATTTTGGGGTGCACCCTTTGCCTGTAGGGCAGATGGGGAGTGGGCAGAGAGCGGCACTGGTGCAGGGATGGGGTGCCAGCCTGCAGGGACAGCAACTTCACCACACCGAGCACTTGTGCACCGGGTTCATGGGCGAGTTCTTGGGGCAGTGGAAAACCCGGCCAAACTCCTCAAACTGTGAGACACTGCCCAGGACCCTGTGGGCAGGGGGAGAAGCTCAGAGCTGTCCCTAAGACCCTGCCCCTCACCCCTGCCCACCCCAATGGCACCGCACCCCACCCATGCCCCCATTTCTACCTGTAGTGCTCCGGGGCATGCTTGTCTGTCAGCACCTGAAGATAGATGGATTGAGATCGCCTCTTGATGCACCAGTTCTGGGGGAACAAGGTCCCATGGGTGAAACAGGCAGGAACTCCAGATTTTGACACCCATCAGGATCCCCAAGGGCCTGATTCCCACCAGGATTGGCCCTTCTGGTTGCTGGGGGGTGAGGGCAACAATGCTGTGTTTGTTATTGAAGGGTCTGCCAGGAGCCTACAAACGTGGTTCAGATGGGTTGGGAGCATTGTGGAATGTTTGTTGTAGGGTCATGTTTGTTTGTTACTGCAGGGTCTCTTTGGGCTGTGGTATGTGCAACTGTGGGGTCCTCCAGGTTCATGTG